TCTAACGGAAATTACAGAGTTACTCAGTAAAATTGGAAAACCATATCGTAAATCGTTCATTTGCAAAATAACAGTTCATCATATCGAACTGGACTGTTCCTGTTGCAAAACATCAATCCATTGTCACTATTCATGCGTTTCATACAAATTCCATTGTTTTCTAACTCTTCCTTTCTTGATCTTCCCCCATCTTCGGCTGCTAGACATTACGTTGACGCTCACGTCACATACTACTTATAAGTAGCTCGCACCACAGCACCACAACTCCTCTCCACAGTCAGCAGTGAAACTTCGCTCTCATGCCTTAAGTCGCTGCTTTTAGACTTACCAGCCTCCGTTCGACCTGCGTGGCATGGTAGGACCTACAGGAACATATGTTCCAGCCAATATAGCTCGGTTCGGTCATCACGATAGAGAAGCCCGACCAGCGCATCAAGGTAACGGCTACGGTCGGGTGCCTGGAACAGGCTATCTGATAATCAACTAATCTAACGAGTTTGTGACTTATTTAAATATGAATTAATTGATGACAAAGTACTATATAAAGCAGAATTTCTTATCAGACGTATCGACTCAAGATCCACAGTCAACATATTTATTTGTTTATGAATCATTTCACTGATATTACCGGGCTCAAATGGGTACAGGCTGTGGTACAAACACGGCGGGTAATACGAAAACATTTGAACTGAAATATCAGTGTCTTTATTCTTATTTAACGAGCATATTTTTAGTAAGCACCTTCAACTATTTTTAAACAGCAATATTTTGACAAAACTTTCTCATTTATTTTTCATCTGACAAACGTAACAATGTGGTAAAGACATATAAGCTACTTATTAGTAGCATAGCTTTTGAGCATTAATTAAATTCGGAGATAATAATTCAAAAATCTCTGTTTTACCGTATTTGTAAGTAACAACTGTAAGGGAATATTTATAAATTGGTCACAGGCTAAATCGAAATTTTAGCCAATTCCTCCAATACCATCAGCTAATTTAGTTCTGGAAAATTCAGAACACAATTTACTGTTAAAGTATCCACGTAATCCTATTGAATTAAATATTTATTCAGTGTTGTGAAATTCAGTGAGTCGAGATGACTGAGTAAAATATTTATCATAGGAACTGATAAATGAACGATCAATAGATAGTGAATAACATACAGGGTGACCGGACGATTCACAAATATACTGATGATCTCGTTAAAAAACTTTTTGACGATTGAATATAGATAATCTTTGCATCAAACAAAATTCATAGTTTACCTTTACAAACTAAATACTAACTGTACTTACAGCTATATCAGAGTAATTTTACTTAGTGTTTCAACATACCTAATTTTTTCATAAAATCATAATTTTATTGACTGAATTTTGTTTAATTGAAATATATTCATACACAGATTCATCTTCTAAGCTAAGATGGTTAATAATGATACAGTTTAACCAGAAGGGATTTTTGAATTATTATCTCCGGATTTAATTAATGCTCAAAAGCTATGCTACTAATAAGTAGCTTATATGTCTTTACCACATTGTTACGTTTGTCAGATGAAAAATAAATGAGAAAGTTTTGTCAAAATATTGCTGTTTAAAAATAGTTGAAGGTGCTTACTAAAAATATGCTCATTATATAAAAATAAAGACATTGATGCTTTCAATTCAAATTTTGTCGGTTAAATTACAAAGCAAATTTAAATCAAGTATCGTAAAACAAGAAGAATAGGACTACATTCTGACTGGCTAGAAAACAAATGAAATTCCTTTTAAATAAGATTAGTTTTTCTGTGGCTTACGTACAGCTTTTGGAAGCTGATATTAGTTAACAAATAAATGAAAATGAAATTTCACTGGAAAATTACCTTATCCTATCCTAATTTTCTTCTAAGCTCAGACCAATTGTAGTAAAATCTCGCATTGAGTAGATGATGAAACAATTTTGAGATATCACATACTGGTTATATTTAATCTATCCGCCAGTTAAACGCACTTCAAATATACTTGTCTTCTAATTCACAAGTGTACTTGATGGATGAACAGTAAACCGACTTAGATAGTGGATGCAAAAGCACAATAGGCGGTAAGAATTTCTAAGGCAATGACCTTCAAGCAATCAGTTATATGTGAAATAGCGCCTTTAAAATTTTGCCTAGAACTGAAAATGTGACGATGGATAGCAGGCAAGACTTGCCTAAATTACTTTCAAAAATAATTTTTGCACAATCAAACAGTTAGTTTAACAAGATGCGTGAACTAAATTGCACGGAATATGTGCTCCTAGTGTAAGTTATATCTGAACGTATGCAATGTGATCCAAGGCATATTTATGATTAAAAAGCATTTTAGCTTTCACATAACAGACCTAACATTCCAAACCCTAATGCTCATAGATCTAACCAATGACTCTAAAGATTGACGTTGATAATTTGAAAATACTAATCTTTTATAAATCTGTTGTCGCTATAATATAGTGTATATTGATATGTTACTGAATATTCTTTGTTTAGTTGCATGTAAGACGACCTGTTATTCTTCATAGTCCCATCAGTAATATGTCTAGTTTGGTAGGTTATCTGAATCTTTAACGGATCATTTAAGCACCTGTTTTAAAGAATTCGATACTTCAAAACGACAATAGATACTAAGAAATAGTCTTGTACATCAGTAACTAGAAAATAACTCATAATTGAATAGGGGGGGGGCATAATATGCAGCAAATTAATAGCTTCCAAATATCCTGGTACAACCGAGTGTGGAAAGTCTGCTCTCCATCTACAAATGTTCTCATATGGCCACGAGTATATAGTTACTACAAAGGGAGTACTATTTATTGACTTCTCGGTGTTGTTTATAAATTTGAGAATGGAGAGCGTGTCCGGCTCTTAAACAGGGTTAGAGGACACGAGGGATCGACTGTGGGGTTTTTTAAAACCCTGATTCCAAATCAATGATGTTCATGAGTTCCAAGATCCTGTGGGAACAGATGTCGTATGAGCCCACTATTGGCCACCGGCTACCGTGGGACTGCATCTCATGATGTTGCACCACTGGATTAGAAATCTTGGTCAAAGGCTTGAAGAGTGGCTCCTTAGTAAGACCATCTGCTTCGGTTTGGGCGTCCGGGACGTGTCCCAGCCCACTCACCAATTCAATTAGCTGTGTGGCGGAAAAATATTTAGGTGCCCCTTTGTACCAATAATTATTTTTAGATAGTAATAAAAGAATTAATAGTTCAGTATCTTACTCATGGTTAGCTTAAGTCGAACGATTGGTGACCATCAATTGATATGGTGCTTGGCATGAATGAATGAGTTAGCATCCATTTACCTTCCTCTCCTTCTTGTTATATACCAGTGTTTTTTTTATTTTTTTAAACTATCACTTCGTTTTTTGAACCGATAAAAAACACAGTTGACGCTTCAATTATATTCTATTTGGATGAAACTTGATCACCGAAGTTACTGTCTAGTGACGTGATAACATCCGATCACATCAGTCGTAATCTTAAAACTAATCTATTCAACCGTCGTGCAGCGTTAATTACTCATCGAATTTACTTTACTGTTGGATCCGAATTACTAGATTCACCGTAGTGAACGCTGCCAGAAAGCTTTATACATTCTATGACATCAAGACGTGTGCGAATAGATCAATCAGTGAGTACTAATTGGAATACTGAAAACGCGTGATTTGAAGCATGCCTCCAAATATACTTCTCTAACTACAGTGTAAACAAACATTAGTTTTGAGTATCTTAAAAATACTAATGAACAAATCTGATACATGACAGATTATAAACCCAGTAACAATTGCGTCTCTGGGCTAATGTGGTATGGCCACGTGAACTTATGTATGTACGTAAGAAGTTCTACGTTGAAACTGACTGACTGATCAGTAACAAATACTTCAGAGTATCCGTTCTCACAGTAACGTGATTTGAAACGCATTATATTATTTCATTAAAAACGGTACTGAGATTGTGGAAAAAATTTGTAGCTCGGGTGAATGATTGTGGTGTTTCGTATTCTGAGCTGGATGTTTTGGTTGTGGAGAGCGAAGACACACTACAGCACATATGAAGCAATAAAGCATCTGATGACTATCTTCCAAAAGAACGGCTATCCACACAATTTCATCAAAAAAACAACTGAATTAGTCAACAGAAGCGAAATCAAGTACAGGAACCAATAAACGGATTATCCTACCATACATAGAAGACATATCGAAACTTACATCCACATTAATGAGACCGTTTGGAATAGGTTTAGCACACAAACCAGCAGAATCACTTGAATCAATCCTATATAGACCAAAGGACAAAATTAATTAGGAATAAAAACCAAATGTAATCTACAAAATAAATTGCTCAGACTGTGAAAAACACTGCACAGGACAAAGTGGACGTCCTCTTCAGCTTCGTTTACGCAAACATCAATTAGCAGTCAAACGCCACGACATTTCTTCGCTTTTATCAATACATACGGACAATTACGGATATACGTTCGATTGGAACAATGTGGAAATGCTGGATAGGGGAGGCATAAAGAACACTAGAGAATTTTTAGAAGCTGGGCGCTCAGGTCAACCAGCAACCAATAAACACATCGACATTGACCCAATTAATCAACCAATCAGAAAAATCACATGTGACATAGGATCAAGAAACAGATCAAAAGGGGGATACAATCAAAACTAAGGTGCAAATAATGACAGGTTTAAGGTCAACAGCAACTAATCAGCGTTGAGGTTAACAGAACAAGCTACAGGTCAAACGTGGAGAAATTCGAATACTTCACTTCTATCTGAAGTTTGTGTTGATGATGTTGTTTAGAAGAACAATGAAAACTCCACAACCAAAACATTCAGCTCAGATAACGAAACACCACCACAAAAAAAGTACTCTTGTTTAGGCACTAATAGAAACCAAGGTACATCAAAGAAGAGATAGTAACCAGAGCACGTACACCCCACTAGAAAACTCGTAAAAGGTAATACTCAGCAGAATATTTATCGACAGATTGTCTTGGTTTTATTATACAAGGGTAATAGTAAACAGGAAATTTAAGAATTCTTAGTTAAAAATGAAAATCGTAATCCAAAAAATAGAGAATAGTACAAATAGTGGGACTTCAAGCACATAGGATTCTGTATAAGTATAATTCAGTTTTTCCTTTAGTTTTTTAAAATACGTAATTGAAACATTTATGTGCTATAAATGATTAACGAGAAATCCTTCCTATACTGAAGAATGATAAGTAAAAACATCAGCGATCAACATATTAGACTGTCATTATCGTTAATGGACGATGTAAAGCTTGCATCACAAATGTCAATCGCTTGAAGTAGTCTGTCGTCATCATCATCATTGTACAATTTGACTTTTTTCACATAGATTTTGTCAACCGTAGGGTTATTTTTGTTGCCTTGTAATATCTTTCGAGCTTCTTCAAAATATTGGTTTGGATGGTGAATGGTTACCCCAGATATATCGTCTACACTCAATTTTAACATCCCACGTAAGTATTCACGACAACTTAGATGGTAAAGTCTTTCTTTTGCTCGCTGAACAATATTTTCTGCAACATCTGAAGACAGGCGACCACCTGACAGTAATCGCTGGCGCAGAAGCTCGGGATCCATATGCCGAAAAGGACAGCCATGATAATCTCCGGCTCCTGGAGCACTACCTGATACAATCTAAGCCATAAACGAGGGTAAATAATGATGCGTCGATAAACAATGTAAATATACAAGTTTTCAAAAGTTTGTCGGGAAGAAACTTTAAAAATGATGTATATGAGATATCTAATGTAAACAAACAGTACTAATATATCCTTAATATCGTAACCAATGGGCTTAAACTTATGTTAATTTAATTCAGCTATGTATTGACTAAAGATGAGGCTCACATTAAGTCACAGAACGTCAACATTTTGGACTTTCTACACAATGATATATATATATATATATATATATATATATATATATATATAGTTACTTTGTGATTTTAAAGGGTCTCAATTTATTCTAAATAATCAGGTTAAACCCTGGTAATAATACTAATGAACAAACGTTTGTTAACTAGTGTGCCAACATCACTGAGACATGATTGACACTTCTAACATCTCAAAAAGTCTAGCCTCCTATTCATTAAAGCGTATCCAAGTTGTTACATCGGTTTTTGTCTAGTATGTACAGCATTCCACTCACAAGGTTAATGAGTTTACTGCATGCTAAACCGGACGATTATCACCAAAATCACCAAGATAATTTAGATAGATATGATCAGAAGTTTGGAATAGCTGAAACGTTAGTACAATCGTACGTTTATATTCTCTTCCCATGAAGTCACATTATCTTCTAATGGTAGGGGTATCCTGACAAAAGTAAAGGTGAATTTTTTGGTGCTCAACCCGTGCTAGTGCGTACACATGGTCTACCTAGACGTCGAAGACAACAGCATGAGCTCTGAGGGAAAATAACATGGGGACAGGTTACTTGGGGGAAGTAAATCTGTTGACCAACGTCGTAAAGATTGGTACCTTTTCTAAGAAATGAAAATGTCCCAGTTCGAACATTCGGTTATTACCATAACGTTTAAAAAGGTGACAATCTAAAGTGAATAATAGGAGACAATTTAAAAGTACCGTCTCGTAAACCCTAGTTACATCACTTAGTATGTCATTACGTGAGTACGTTTTTTGACTTTTTCGAGGTTTACAAACTTTCGTACATTGGTTTCAGTTTTTAACTAATCACTTAACTTCCTGTTATTGCATTGTCTCTTTTAAGTCTTAAGTTGTCAAGTGGTTACTTTTGGAAGAGCATATCATAATGCGATGTCTGATATAGCTATTCCGTAATCTTATGTCATTCGATGTCATACGTACCAGACAACAAACAGGTTCCTGAAAAGATGCAGCGCTGATGTGTTCTGCATTTCAGAAATTCATACTTAACACTCTTAGTGAATTGTTACAAATTTGTTTTTAATGCATCGATCTGAACGTTACGTTTTATGTATGCTTATGCAGGAACCCTGCGACATTGACTTGCAACTTCGCTGGTATCAAAATCACACCCAGTGAGAGATGCAAAGTAACGCTACGATATTTTTGATTTTAGCGGGAATCGACTACACATCAACACAAATCAGTTTACATGGAAAGAACACAATGTACAAATGATTAACCTTACAGTGTTTAGTCAGTCAGCTACAATGTACGTACGTATATCAGTTTACGCTGTCATACACACTACCACAGTGATGCGATTGTCAATTCAAATCCAATAGTAGTAGAGGTAGGTAGCAGAAGTATTAGCAATAATGGAATAGATTAGGGATCGATGATATGAGTCGAGAAACATAATCCCGTGAAACAGGTTTGAGAGATAAGAAAAGGTTGTGAGCTCATGAGGTCATGAGAGAAGACAAAGAATGGATGCACTAGCGCCACTACAAACTATTTCGAGACATGTCATTCAAAAGTAGGACGGAGCAAAATGATGCGAAATACACTCGTCCTTTTATGCAAACGGTTATCTCGCCTACGCAATAAGTGACACAAGTCGGGAAAAGCCAGTCAAACCTTCTGTATCCGTGTTGAGATTTCGTCAGTCACCAGGACATCAGCACTGATGAGACTACCGAAATAAGAAAAGCGGTCAACACGCCAAACCGCTTCACTCCTTATCACTAGTTCAGGTGCCGACGCAAGCCGATCCTGAAGCAACATTTTGCATTTCGACGGGGGAGAATCGCATCCTGAACATGCTTGCATTGTTGCTTAAGGTGCTAACAACCTTACATTGTTACATTAACGGTTAGGATAATTAGGTGCAGCTGATTAATACTATTTCCATAACGTTAGAGATAAAAGGCTTTTAAAAATATATTGTTGTGGTTGTTGCATTAAAAGTAACAGAGTTAGATGCTTGTTTTTTTGAAGAAAGTTAAACATTTCCTGATGGTAACACAGTTACTGGTCAAAATCCCTTATTGTTATTTAGAAACCGATCGACTAGGACTGACAGAACATTAGGTATTACATAATCAATGATTTGTTTGAGTGTACTTGACAACAATAGTCAATACAGTTTTGGACAAAAGTGTTGATAAGGGATTAAACCGCTACATTCACACAAAAAGCTACATATTTCGGGTTAACTACGAAGCAATGAAAAACTAATTTGGTATACAGTAATGAAGGTTTAACAAAAGTCAGAAATTACCCTGATACAAGAATACGGTGTATAGTCAGCACGTTTTCCTTCTTTCCCATAATTATGTCTGATGTTATAGGCGTAAGCCTTATTAAATTGATCGCTGTCGCACTTAGGAGCGAATGCTTTGCGCCAAAACTTAAGTGACTCTTCCAGAGGTAATCCAATACCCTAAAAAAACGTATATGTAAAGCGAAATGAGTAGGCTAAGTACTGATTATGTGAACACAAACTGAAACAATAGAAAATAATCAGTTAAAATATAATTCGTGCAGAAGTCACTACTTGTAGATAAATCAATTGTCATTTATATGGAAGTTACCCGACTGTAGCTGATACCTTGACGTGGTGGTTCGGATTGCATATTGTGATGACCCAAACGATTGGAGAACGGTAAAAGCGGAAACTCAAGGTCTGAGGGAGAAGTCGTACTGCTGACTTTCGAGAAGTGTGAGGGAAGTAAGGTATTTCCCTCTGACAACCAGCATCTGCAGCGATGCTGCCTTCTCACAAGGAAGGAAGGGGTTAAAAAATGTCGGCCCGAAAAATGTCACACATAACCTCACCCCACAGATGTCCGTCTCCGGTGTCAAGGCCTTTTAAGGATAAGAGCTAACACTATACAAACTTCCCGTAACTAGCGACAAGCAGTTGTCCCTTAGGCTCTGCGGTCACGCTGCCACGTCGCCAAGACTAACGCTAATACAATTCCTTCCCAGATTCTTCAAGAGATATCTTTCCAAGAGTGGGCAGCCGAGAATTGGTATCCGCTCTCATACCCGTAACAATACATGAGTCCAAACTAGTCACAATCAAATACTTCTTACACATAATAACCCTCTTACCTACATGATAAAAACTTCTCACATCGCTTTATCACCTGGTGACAATGACAAAAACGATTTGAGTACAGGAAACGTTCATGAGATTCGCATCCTATAGGTACATTTTGTGTTTTTTGGACACCATCAGTGAAAATCCTTGCGTGCGATGCATTTTCTTCTTCGTGGCTGGAGTTTAAAAGCATTTATACTGAATCTAGTCTTTGTTCTCCAACCTACGTCCAATGTGTTTCGCTGATTACAATGATCACCAGGCTGCATCTTCTTATTGTACAGTAACTTGGATGATTCCCCAGGTCTCCCACAATACCCAAACAGTTCAAGCATCTAAATTAGTGGTTTTTAAGGCATCGGCATCGTGACTTCCGAAGAAACTAGACTTTCATCAAGAAACATTAAAACTCTTCCAAACTACCAGGGAACAATTTAAAAAGTTGGAATTATTTTTTCTGGCTACCGATTTTTCAGCGAGTTAGTTTTATATGGAATGGGGCGGTTAGCCCCATGCCTAACTCTCTTAGCTTAAGACCGACAGTAACCTCAGGAGGCATACAGGCAGACCAATGTCAATCGAATTTCCTTCTGAAGCTACACAAGAAACACAATTCTACGGTGTGTACAACCAGAAAGCGACATGAATTATCATAGACCTAACAACACACTAGATCAACTTGATCAAAAACGAATTCCACACCTCTTACCAACTCTTGTAGCTGCGTTAGATTCAGAGTAGGGCTAACAAATTTTGATGGCTGAGTTGAACTCGTAATAGAGCTCACTACTTTGGTGGCCTGTGAGCTGACTCCAGTTTGGGAGAACGGTTGCCTAAGCTTTAAAATGAATCTCTCCTACAGTTTCCGTAAATCGTACTTAGGCGAATCCCATTTGTGGGACGGCGGTTATAAGAAGCCAAATGCGGTTTTGCGAATGGATTTAGTTCATGTATTCATTAAGGTAGACAGACTTTGGAACGAAAAGCCTACAAGCAAAGTGAAGCGAAGTGGAGAAAGCAAATGAGCCAACTCAATGCGATGATGCATGACTAAGTATTTATAGTCAAACACAAACAAGCTAGACATGTAATAAGCGAAGTAAGCAGTACAAAGATTCGAAAAGAAACAACCAAGATAAGAGTGAATAGTAGACAAGGTCGAAAGGCGTGTGAATAATTTGGAGAGAATGGATCAACTAATTTGTCTGAAAGATAGGAAAAGCCTAGTAGGCTTAACATATTGGTGCATAAACTACACCTACATAACTCCACGTATAATTCTCACGTTGCTGATGTTGAAGATGCGAGTACACGAAATTTTATTTCTGTTACTCATGAACGCAAACATGTCATTTTGATATGCTTGAACTATTACGAGTTTACCTTAGTCGGAAAACGAGGAACGAGGACCCAGCGACACAACATGCTACTTCAATTCGGGTGTCCCAACTCCCACTGAATGAAAAGAAGAATTGATATGAAGTAGAATATGTATTCTACAAACATCCAGAAAGTACGAGGTCCGAGTTCAAAAGAGAATCAGGATCCAGACTAGGGATACGGGTCCGGGTCATAAAACGGTACAAAAAATCAACCATCAATCAATAGCAACGTAGAACTTCGTACGTACGTACATCAGTTCATGTTGACATACTACATTAGCACAGAGATGTAATTGTCAATTCAAATCCAATAGCAGTAGAGGTAGTAAAGGTATTAGCAGTAGTCGGAGAGGTTAGCATTAAAAGATATTATTCAAGAAGTAGAAACTGGTGAAATAGGCTTAAAAAGATAAAGATAATGAATTAAAAAATTTAGGATTTGAGAGAGCACAGCGAATGAATGCACCTGCGTCATTGCAAACGATTTTGAGCCATGTCATTCAGGGTCTCTAACCACCGGTGACTTTCGTCTCGTGGACCCTAACCAGGTGGTAGCCTACATCTACCAACATGACTCAGTCCACTTGTCAGCGACTTTATGGACTTCGACCATGTTTTGGTCTGGCCGCCCCTAGCTTTTGTCCAACCTATTCCTACATCGCAGAGCACAGCTCGAAGAGGCAGTCGGTAGTCAGGCGCATAAGCAACACATGTCAAAACCACCTCGTCTGATGGAGTTTCAATACTTCATCAATTAATCTGCCGTCCCTACCTAGAACTCGTTTCCTAACATCATCATTGTTTACTCGGTTGTCCCAGGATATGCGAGCAATGCTTCGGAGACACCTATGATCGGAGACAAGAAACCTACGAATATCTTCTACTCTCACTGGCCATGTTTCATAGCCATAAAGTAGGACGGAGCGAACTACTGTACAATACACTCGTACTTTAGTCAGCAAACGGATATCTCGCATGCACCATAAGTGACGCAAGTTAACAAAAGCCAATCGAGCTTTCTGTATCCGCGCTGAGATTTCGTCAGTCACCAGGGCATCAGAACTGGTCAAGTCGTAAGTCAATCCTGAAGCAACATTTTGCATTTCGAGGGGAAAAACCGCATCGCGAACATGCTTGCCTTGTTGCTTAGTATAGTCAGAAGACTGCATTTTGTCAGCGTCTTCACAAAGTAGAAGGTCTACTCTTGAAAATTCAGATGAGGATAAGATTATCTAGGAGTATGTCTATGAAAAAATTAAACAAGAACCGAGAAAGTGGACAGATCTGACGGACACCACTTGAAGTAAAGAACTCCGATGACAATTCACCATAAGCGTTGAAGTCACCAGCCAATATTGCTATATATTAAAGCAATATCTTTTGCCTAGCGTTCCTAGAAACCTCTGAATGTCAAAAATTGGTCTATTATTAACTTCACACTTTTTTTTGCTGACAACTTCTTGCTATTAATGGCTCGGACGAGTTAAAACAGTTTCAGCCAGTTACCGGATGCACTCAGCATCTTCTTTTCCTGAAGAAGCGTTGTGGGATTTTTAAACCCAAGGATCTGTGTGTAATTTCAAACTCGAGTTATAGAGAACCTAAATGAGGCTAGTGTTTAAAAGCTCGACATTTCAAGAAGTCACAACTGAATTAATTTTATAAAGTCATAGGAAATAAGTGTTAATCTTAACGTTTCGGCGAACTGAGAGCTAGGCTTTAATTTATCTCACTTTAACATATGTTTGCAATGGAAATATAATTACTGGACAAGTCAACTTGATTTAAGCACTCTAAAAGCCATAGAGTGACAGAAAATAGTCATATGTTCGAAAACTGATTTAAATAAATTATACAACAAATCCAGAATAATCGCTGACGGAAAAAGGAAGATTTTATTAAATATATCTAATTATATGTGCGTAAATTAAAACCAACCTTTAAAAATAGGCCGTACTGCATTCTACCGGAATGTCGCAAGTGGTGATGGACTTTGAGAGCTTCATGCAACTGTGCCATACACGGTGGTAGAAGGCCTGGCTGTTTTGAGAAACCGTCTATATCATCAGCTTTGACCACTCCAGTAACAGGTGCTTTAGCTGAATAGTCCTCACCAAGATAACGACTGGATAAGGATGACAACAGAGGTAAAACCCGATTTTCTTCACACGCTATTCTAGAACACAAAGTTAACCCAAGGTGCGCTAAATTGCGTGATAAACTGGTCCGGAAACAAGAGACAACGAGACTGACTAAGTCAGGTTCTGGTACAAACGCATATCCTGCCTGTACAAAAACCCTTCTAGATCGAATAAGATCTGAAACCTCAGTAAAATGAACCTAGAAAGCAAAAGGAAAGCGAAACACAAAACTAAATGTAATTGATGTGAATTTGGGAAAAACTGTTCCGCGAAAATTCCGGTGAAACAGATTTATAGGTTTGGCTATATTCGAATTCAGCTTCGCAAACCTATTACTAAACATATCGTTCATGAATATGTTTTTAAAAAATGAGTAACCGTTGCAGACCCTTATTAATCAGAAAGACTCAAGGAGAATGAGTTTTATCAGTATTAGAATAAACTTAAAAATCCTTACTAAAACTAGAACCACAAACATGGAATTGTGGTAGGAATAGTTTTTTTCGTTCAGGACGCTGTTACCACCATTTGTATTCAACATGAACAATTTTTAAAACTCTCTTGTCTTTTCTAAACTTTGAATTTCGTGACATTTTATCGCTTACCTTGTTTTGTTTTTCAATGTCAGTCTCTGTTTATTTTAAATGATTCCTTTGATAGTAAAACTAGGGAATACGCTCTAATGAAGATAAGTGTACCGATACATTATTGGTAAAAATAGAAATGACGAAGTACAAGGTGTCATTGAACCCTAACTTTGATAATTAAATTTGGAAATCGAGTCTTAGTATGTAATAATCTGTTGGACCAAGCAGCTATATGTGAAACATGATGATTAGAAACGATAAGAGAACCTTGGCCACGTTCCGTTTGTTGAAATTTAAAGACACTATGTAGTCTCGATTGAACTACTGGATCCTTCAGATTTTCAAGCATGGACCACTCAATAACTCAGTGAAATATGTTACCATAGCTATTCGGGCTACAACTGGACTTTTGTAGAACCAAGATGTATACTGATTTACATACTGTGAGATAGAATGATTTAGGAAAGAAGTTTTCTTAATTAAAGGAATTACATAACTTGCATAAGTTTAGGAGGCTTTTCTTCCGAATATTACGTTTCCGCAGTATTTTGTTGAATTAAGGATTTTGGTGGGGCTGTGTACTGCTTACATCGCTTAGTACATGTCTAGCTTGTTTGTGTTTGACTATAAATACTTAGTCATGCATCATCGCATTGAGTTGGCTCATTTGCTTTCTCCACTTCGCTTCACTTTGCTTGTAGGCTTTTCGTTCCAAAGTCTGTCTACCTTAATGAATACATGAACTAAATCCATTCGCAAAACCGCATTTGGCTTCTTATAACCGCCGTCCCACAAATGGGATTCGCCTAAGTACGATTTACGGAAACTGTAGGAGAGATTCATTTTAAAGCTTAGGCAACCGTTCTCCCAAACTGGAGTCAGCTCCCAGGCCACCAAAGTAGTGAGCTCTATTACGAGTTCAATGCAGCCACTAAAATCCTATTATTTGTTACCGGCTACCGTGAGACTGCATCTCATAATGTTGCACCACTGCATGCTGGACTAGAAATCTTGGTCAAAGGCTTGAAGAGTAGCCCCTTAATAAGACCACCTGTTTCCTTTTGGGCATCCGGGGACGTATCTCAGCCCTCTCATAAATTTAATGAATTGTGTGGCGCACAAATATTTAGGTGACCCTTTGTACCAATAATTATGTTTAAATAATAATATAGCAATCTTTAAGTGACAATCATCCAGTTCATAAACCCTTATATTTATAACTAATATATAATCCACTAACTTAAAATATATTTCCTGATTCTATTTGGATGATAACCAGCAAAACTCCCATTACGAAATTGGACTTTTCTTTCTAGCTGATGGGAGGAAAGAAAATAATAATAGTTTTGCTCAGTGTACTGAAGTTGGAGTTGTGAATATGTTAGTTTAGTGAGTGAACATATCAAATTTTAAATAAACTGTCCTGAGAGGTAGTGTAAATCACCTGCATTCAGTTTCAAACATCGCATAATAGAAATCGCTATTGTTAAGTTGCAAGTATGCGGTAAACTGAATTCCACTATTCACGATGCAAGTCCCATTCATCTACTCAGAGGATCAAATAGCTGTATAGGAAGTCAGTAGGAAATATACGGAATCTGAAACTGAGTCTAAAATAGTGTACATTAATTTGTCAACTTCCATGGTTGGTTCTGTTGGGATATGATTTTTTGACTGACAAGTTGGATACGAAATAAAATGAACTACTAAGTCTCGGTGTTGGCAGTTATCATAAAGTTTATTGATTTCAAGACACTGAAATTGGAGTTAATTATTGTGAAGTTTAATACTTCGGAAATATCAAATTACTCACTTTGTAAAATGCAGTGGTATTATAATCAATTCCTGCAGTGGCTGTACCTGCTATTAAATATTTTAGTAGATTCGTTCGTTCAAAATTCGACATAAGGGTGAAATTGAGGTGATTTTCACAGAGAAATTTTGAAATAATTTCTGCACCAAGAGCAGAATTGTTACGTTCATTGAGAAATCGGAAGCGAAATAAGTCTACCTCTTGCTGAACAAACCACCGACGTAGATCTTCGCTACGACAGTACGCAACCTAAAGGGAAAATAGTAGTTGTATCTTGTTTAAGGCACTCATTTGAAGAATAAAAAGAAACAAGTTAACAGTTATTTTTTAGATACTTTGTAACAGAACAAAATTATAAAATGCTTGGAGAAAGGTTTGATTTTAATCAGAAGTGTACAGAGTCGTGAACGTAAGAGGGTTATTAGGGGGTGGAGGGAGGATCTGAGTGTAACTAGTTTGCACTCATGTGCTATTACGAGTTGGGGGCGGATGTCACTTCGAGGCTGATCACATCGTGGAAGGTGTTTGTTGAGGAGCCTGAAAAGGTAGATTCGTATTGGTTTTAGCGACCAAAGAGCGCGGCCGCAGAGCCCAAGAGATAACAGCTTACGGCCAATCACGTACGGCCTTTTTATCGAAAGATTTTGAAGTGTGAGCCAAGGACGCGAATCCGTGGGGTAAGGTGAAGTTTAGCAAACCTAGAGTCGACGTTTTGTCACCCCTTCCTTCCTTGAAAGGCTGGAGTAGATTTAAGAAGCATCTGCCGAACTGACAGATAATCGAAAACTCACTCCACCTGACTCTGGATATGACGAAGAGCGAAGTCAGCTTAGGCGCAGGCTCATAAAAAGCTTACACAATGATCGTGAACAGTGGTGGGTAGCGAAATCAAGAGAGATGGAAAAGGCAGTGATGATATTTAACGGTAGACAACTGTTTCGCCTTATCAAGGAAACTGGTACCAGGAATCCATCTGTTAGCGAAAGGATGGGACTGTCATTCATTTTCAATCCAGGAGATGGGCAGAGTACTTTAGGGATCAGTTCAACTGGCCTTCAGCCACACTTCGGTTGCATACGATCTCCAGTCAAACTGAACAGCAAGTTGATGTAAGTCCTCCGACTTTTATTGAAGTTGAGAAAGCTATAAGAAATCGGAAGCGAGGGAGAGCAGCAGGACCTGACCCTAATCTTTCCGAATACTGCTCATTCTTATACTACCTCGACCATTACTGGATTTGAATTGATAATTGCATCTCTGTGCTAACGTGGTATGGCAACCTGAACTCATGTACGTACGTACGGAAATCCAAGTTGTAACTGACTGACTCCAATTCGAGTAGTGCTAAAGTCTAGCTTGTAAACACGTTTAGTGAAAAGCAGCCAATATGTGGTTTTTTTAACTTTACATTCAAGAAGTCAGCAACAACGTAGAACTTCGTTTGTACGTAGGTAAGTACATCAGTTCAAGTTGCTATACCACGTTAGCACAGAGATGTAATTGTCAATCCAAATCCAGTAATGGTCAAGGTAGTAAAAGGATGAGCAGTAATCGGAAAGATTAGGGTTTTAAGATGTTATTCAAAGAATATAAACTAGTGAAATAAACTTAAGAAGAAAAATATAAAGGTAATGAGTATTGCAGAAAACACAAAGAATGGATGCACCTGTGCCATTGCAAACGATTTTGAAACATGTCGTTCAAGGTCTTTAACAATCGGTTACTTTCATCTATCTCGGAACAGATGGGACCATCGGTTACTATCAACTCTCGGCGCCTAACCAGGTAGTATACACCTAACAACATGGTTTAGTCCACTTGTCAATGACTTTATGGATTTCTCCCATGTTTTGATCTGGCCGTCACTAGCTTTCTACCACACTGCTCGTACACCACAAAAGATTGCTCATCCAGGCAGTCGGTGGTTTAGCATAAGCAACACATGTCCCTACCACCTCAGTTGATGGAGTTTTATTACTTCATCAACTGATCTGCCATACTTACCTAGAACCCGTCTCCTAACAACAGCGTTGCTCAATCGCTTTTGTCCCAGGATATACGAGCTGTGCTTCAAAGACACCTGTGACTGAATATTAGCAACCTACGAATATCCTTAACACTTCCAGGCTGTTTTGCATACTTACAGTACAACCGAGGGAACTGTTACACAGTACACTCGTCCTTTGTTTAGCAAACGGATATCTCGACTGCGCCATAGCTGACGCAAGTTGAGTCAATTGAGCCTTCTGTATCCGAGCTGAGATTTCGTCAGTCACCAGGACATCAGAACTGATGAGACTGCCGAAATAAGAAAAGCAGTCAACACGTCAAACCGCCTCACTCCTTATCACTAGTTCAGGTGCCCGTGCGACGCAATCTTGAAGCAACATTTTGCATTTTCAGGGGGGAAACCGCATCCCGAACATGCTTGTTTTGTTACCTAGGGTAGTCAGAAGACTGCATTTTGTCAGCGTCTTCACAAAGTAGAACTATGTCATCAGCATATTCTAAGTCAACAAGCGAGTCTCCTGGTAGAAGGGCCAGTCCTGAGAAGTCAGACGAAGATAATGTTGACTCTAAAAGCATGTCCATGAAAAAGTTAAGCAAGAATAGAGAGAGTGGACAGACCTGACGGATACCACTTGAAGTAAAGAATTCCGATGACAATTCGCCGTAAGCGTTGAAGTCACCAGCTAATATTGTCTATATATTAAAGCGCCGAGCTTTTTGTACGGGGTCCGAAAGCTTTCGGTAAAATTAACCTTTTACCTCGTCTGAACTGCAGTCAGAGGGAGCGTAGGCAGATACGACGAAGAAGCAACGGCGAGTGTCCCTATCCTTCCGAGTTCGTACCGTCTTGTTTAGTCAGACAGCGCACAGGCGATTATCTACTGGGATCCTGTCTAAGAGAGCTAGTTTTGCCCGACGACTTGATACTATACCTACGCCAGCCAGGCCAGGGGAGGCAGCATCAAGGCTACTCAAAACGCGAAGCGTAATTCGTGTTGTTTCTCTATCTGCACAAGGTGAAATCAAATTGACGATTTTACTCAGATCTTGTATGCGCGTTTCGGAAACGCAGCATATATCGATTGCCCGGGATTCCAGAGTCATAGCAAATGAAGCCTGTTGCCCTATTTGACACAATGTCCGATCATTAAAAGCTCCAACATGTAATTTGATACGGGGTTTCAGGATGGCAGGAATAATATTTTGTGAGCTCAAATCGTTTGCTTAAGTGGCAAACGATCGAAGGAAGAGTTGGTCGAGGGGATAAGAGAGTTATTAGGAGGCGTAGAAAGGGTTTGATTGTGACCGACTCAGTTTCGTGTGTTTTTATGGGTATGAGGGCGGATGTTTCTTTCCGGTTGCTCACACCCTGGAAGGGTTTTAGTTGTCAATAACAGTCAGTCAGTTTTAGAGTAACTAATCCAAGTGATCATAAACTTTAGTTTTGACCTATACTCATTAATGTCTCACGCCAGCAAATCACACAGTTTTAAGACCACACCAAATATCTAACGGCTTAGTGATGAAAGTACTTTGATTTTGACCTATGGGTTGCAAGTTTAATCTAATCCACACTTCGTTTATTTGGGTAGATATATAGCATAACAGACCACCATACTGGGTAGGTGGAACCCAACTGTGACTGTGCTTAGTTAACAAGCTTTACTTAGGACCAGTCAGTCGTGAGAGGCGTAAAACTGGTACAAATATGCGTCGCTTCAAGCTATCATAAATAGGTTGAAACTATTAGAGTGAATACCAAAGTAGTTAAAAAGGGATAAATAACATGATTCGAGAAAGATGAATTCGCAAAACAAAAGGTATACAAAGATTCTAAAATTCAGGATCTAAGAGATAGCAACTGGTGAATAGACTTGCACTATTGCAACCCATTTTAAGCCATATTACCTGTTTCGAGCCATTAATCATGATGAACATGCCGACCCTAACCGGTTAGTTCGCACCGATCAACGTGACTCAGACTAACAATCAATGGGTTCAAGATTTAATTCCATGTTTTGGTTTGATTACACTAAGCTTCCTACAAATCTATTTTAACGCCAGGACTGAGCACAGATAGGTGATGGTTTGGCACACATAATCCATGACTGTAACTTTAGTCGATCAACGGCCTTTGTAATCGACTTCACATTTCTTACCATCATTCAAGTTCAGAAATGGTCGATTAGTTGTTTCCCTATGCATGAAAAATGAGTCTGCAACACCTATGAATAAGTACTAGTGATTTACACATATCCTTCGATTCCAGAAACTACGTTTTACAGCCATAAAGTAAAGCACAGAGAACTTCTGAGGGACCAACTTGACTTTTTATAGGTAGACAGAATTCTCATCTCCACAAGTGAAGTAAGAGAGAATTTAAAGGGATTTTTATATGCGTGCTGACACTGACAGTCATCAGTCCACCAGAGCTGATACGACTTCCGAAATCGGTGAGATGAATACGTTCAGTTACCTTGCGCTATGTGACCAGACTCTGCCTTATAAGACCACTTAGGAGGTTACGAAAACTAGATTAAGGTGAAAACACTGTTGTTTACTGGTCAAATACCAATTTATATAGCCGGATATAAGCCATACGTTTTGAGTAAGGACTGATGATTTTGTTTGACTGTAATCTACTGAAGTAGGTGAAGCAGTGTTTCAAACAGCTAAATGTTTAATAGTTTAGTGCTTGGACTAACATATCCGTACATTATGAATATTCGCGTATTTTGACCAACTAGACAGAGATAAGCGCACGTTATTTCCGTTACTAAATAAAGCACGAAAAGACTAATTTTATGTATCAGTCAGAAGCTAAATTTGCACAACCAAAATAAACATATTCTACTGAGATAAACAGATATAGAAATTTACCTGTAAAATAAAGTGGGAAATGATGTCCTTGTGAATATCTTCCTTTGCATTCTTTGAAGAGGAAGAACATGCGGTAAATATTTTTCCGAAGCCACCTATTTTTGTCAATTCCGTTGTCATTTTATCATCATAATCCTTAGTGCCTCGAATACAATCTTGCCCAACAGCCTCAACACATTTTAACACCCGAATACGATGAACGGCATATTCTTCTAGTTCATTCAGTTCAATAACCTCACTTGGAGGGCAATTATAAAATTGAAGCCGAATAAGTTTATGTTTAGTGACTGAAGGAGACTTGAATTCCATTATATATTAATGTATGGCCTGATGAAAGCTACAGTAAGTGGGAACAGAAAACAATTGTTCGATGGTATCATGGTTTAATAAACAAATATAGAATATTAAGAGAAAAATAATCATATGCATCGGGAATCGATCATTTAGCCTGGCATTTATCCTTGCTTTAGAAAATCAAATAGAAACAAGACACAATCAAACGACGATCATATATAGTAGGTGGTAATATATAAGAGAATCGAATTTTAACTCAATGAAAATGAAGGCAACTGGAAATCAAGAACGAATGGAAAAAAATTAACAAGTTTGATACAAATAAAAATGTAAGGATGATTGGCTCATAAGATTACTACAATAACCTTAAACTACTGACATAAACAACCCTCACGCTTAAAGTTTAATGGGTTGCTTTGGTGTGCTGAGTGTCATAAAGGTAGGTAAATAAACGCAAGCTCTTGGATTTTCAATTTTTGACTGCCAGTATTATGACTCATATGTTTTGAACAACGTCAAAAATCCTCGGTGCAATTGTATTGAAGAGGGTATTAAAAGCGTTGTGAGAAAAGCTACATGACAAAAAGTTTCAAAAATTTAGATCAAAGAGCGAGTTTTTGTGATAAGAATTCGTGACCCTTAATAGAGCCAGTTAGTTATTCACATGCTGAGTACAGTGTGACGTACGTGTGAATCCGTATTAGGTCCAGTTACCAAAGTTCTGAAGTCAAAGAGACTGAATATTAAGTCAAATATATAATAATATTATATTTATCATGTATTTGACCTCAGGTTTGGTCCAAAGTACGTCGTCGGGAGTGGCATTACACTGTGAACTAGGCTTTTTTAGTACAAAGGTGGTCAGTCAGTCAGTCAGATGCAACGTAGAACTTTGTACATAAGTACATCAGTTCATGTTGCCATACCACATCAGCACAGAGAGGTAATCGTCAATTCAAATCCAATAGTAGAAGAGGTAGTAAGGGAATTAGAAATAATCGGAGGTTAGGGGATTAGAAGATACTATTCAAGAAGTATGATTCAGTGAGAAAAGTTTAGAGAGTCGAAACTAGAGGGGTTGAAGAATCCAGAAGATTAGCATTTGAGAGAACACAGAGAATAAATGCACCGGCGCCATTGCGAGCGATTCTGAGCCATGTCATTCAAGGTCTCTAACCATCGATTATTATCATCTCGCGGACCCCAACCAGGTAGTCGACAATTACCGACATGGCTCAGTCCACTAGTCAATGACTTCACGGATTTCTGCCATGTTTTGGTCTGGCCGCCCCTAACTTTCTTCCAACCTATTCCCACACTACAAAACAAGGCTCGACGAGGCAGTCGGTGGTTGGGCATACGCAACACATGTCCCAACCGTACAAAGGTGGTTGGATGCAACAATCTGTTAGAACAAGTATTAAAGTTACATGATATTTGTAACTACAATCTCCAAATTTCGGGAAGGCCTAAGTAGAAAACTTTGAGGAAGAGCGGCTGAAAACTTATGAGAAAACCCCGAGACGTTCGATGAAATATTGGGGGACAGTAGCGTAAATGGAGCAAAATGGAAAAAGGAACAAGAGTGATAACCCAAAGACACAGTAACATTAGGAAATGAACTTGCTTTTGACAAGGATAGTGATAAATAACAACCGGAATTCACGTAAGGTTCAAATTAAGAGAATAAGGAAAGTTAGCCCTGGAGCTAATAACTTAAAGACTAGAAACCTTACGTATCGCCAATATTGAACACCGCGGTCTATACCAAAATTATGTGATAACGATTCAGACGTTACTCGTCATTTGGAACAAGCAAAAGCATACCTCGTTGGTTAGTCAGTGTTAGATTTCATTACTTCATGAAATTGAGAGTGCCACAAATATTTAGAGTTAGGTAGCGCCTTTGTCTGTAAAACCGTTCACATCGAGAATACTTAAAGCCAATACAAACCATAGGCCAGTAATGAGGCAAATCGAAGGCATGTCTTTATCATGGTTGGGATGTCAATGAGTGTAGGTGATAAACTTGACAGTTGATGCATTGCACGGCGAATAACATGGTAACCTAGCGTGGATGCGTAGTCATCTTCAGTAAGATTGTGAGGTGAACATCAGTGATGAAGACTGGCAGAGCTATTTATTTTGAGGATTTATTTACCGCCACAGCTCACTAGCATCCTGGTGAGGTAATTATGACCAAATATAGGAATCAGCTAAACATATCAACCTGATATGCTTGAACTATTACGAGTTTGCCTTAGTCGGGAAATAAGAGCGAGGATCGAGGATCGGGCGACACGACATTCTACTGAAATCCGAGTGTTCCAACCCCCATTGAACAAAAAGAAGAAGACTTGACATGAAGTAGAACCTGTATTCTACAAGTATCCAGAAATTACGAGGTCTGATTTCAGAAGAGAACCAGGATCCTGGACCGGGTCTTGGTCCTAGAATGTTACAGATAATGCGTATTTTATCATTTTAACAGTTGAGTCTACCAATAGGAAACAGCATTTGAAGTGACATTAACAGTCAGGACGACCGATAAGAAACAACATTGGAGTACATGACAATGATATCTAGGATGATCATAAAATTGACCACTAAAATTAAACAAAAGTAATTGACTAATAATTATCTTAGGATGTTGGATGAAAATCCTATCACCTATCCATAATGGTTGCATAGTACTTGGGTTCGCGATGAAGAACGTAGTAAAGTCCTTTATATGCGGCTTCAAACGTACGAAAACCTGGGTCGAAAGGCGGGTTGAACTAGTAAACCAGTTGGTTAAAGTTAAGTAGGAAGAGGCCTTAGTGAACAGAATGCGTCTGTAAGCCTGCTCGTCTAGTACTTGGGGTCTAAATTTTTCGTAGGGGATAAGCGATCTGTAAATTATTTTGGTAGTCTCCCTGTACTGCTGTAAATGTGTCTGGTTTCAGTGCACCCAAATCTAGCTTTCACTGCATTGCAAATTCCAAGTAATACCAGAGGAAAAGCGTCACTCCATTGCCGCGCGTTTGTGGATGGAAAGAGGCTTTTCACTCCAAATTTTAAGAGTGAGAATAGGGACAAACTCCGACTGGAGACTCTCTGAGGCTACAGCTGGTCCCAAGACCAGACTAAGGAAGAGGACTGACATGAGGTTGGCTACCATATCCCGGAATAAAACTAAATCACTAAAAAATGCTAATGAGAAAACATAATGCACACCATTTAAACTCTGCCCCAGGAGTTAAATAATCTTCATTCAGAAGAGTTATGACGTTTCAACATGAAGGACGAGTTCCTTCAGAAGTCGTGAGGTCGATGCGCCTTCGGACAACCAGAGGAACCATTCTTTTAGGTACATGGAACGTTCGTATATTTTGGGAGACTGGAAGACTGTTTCAAGTTGCGGCAGAAATGAAAAGATACAACCTCAAGGTGCTCGGCATCAGTGAAACCTATTGGACACAGGTTGGAAAACTGAGACTAGCTTCAGGGGAACTGCTGTTATACTCTGGTCATGAACAGGAAAATGCTTCACATACACAAGGAGTTGCACTGATGCTGTCTAAACAACAGGCTGGATTTCGTAAGAATCGATCGTGTACCAACCAACTTGCAACATTACGGATCATTGTGGAATAATCAATTGAATGGAATTCACTACTCTACATCAACTTCATTGACTACGAGGAATCATTCGATAGCGTGGATAGGAAAACACTGTGCAGGCTTCTTCGACACTATGGTGTGCCTGAGAAAATAGTTAACATCATACGGAATTCTTATGATGGATTCAACTGCGAAATCGTTCACGAAGGACAGCTAACAGACTCTTTCGAGGTGAAGACCGGTGTCAGACAAGGTTACTTACTCTCACCCTCTCTTTCTCCTGCTCATCGACTGGACTATGAAAACGTCAACATCTGGAGAGGAGCACGGTATCAACTGGACAGTTAGGACGCAGTTGGACGATCTGGACTTCGCAGATGACCTGGCTCTTCTATCGCACACGCAACAACAAATGCGAGAGAAGACGACCAGTGTAGCAGCAGCCTCAGCAGCAGTAGGTCTCAACATACATAAAGGAAAAAGTAAAATTCTCCGACGCAACACAACATGCACCAACCAAATCACTCTCGATGGAGATGCCTTGGAGGACGTTGACACCTTTACATATATTGGCAGCACCATCGACAACCAAGGTGAATCCGATGCAGATGTGAGGACACGGATTGGCAAAGCAAGGACTACATTTATACAATTGAAGAACAATTGGAACTTAAAACAACTATCAACCAACACCGAAATCAGAATTTTCAATACAAATGTTAGGACAGTTCTAATGTATGGGCGGAAACATGGAGAACTACGAAAGTCATCATCCAGAAGATACAAGTACTTATTAACAGTTGTCTACGCAAAATACTTCGTATTCGTTGGCCAGACACGATCAGCAACAACGTACTGTGGGAGAGAACAAACCAGATTCCAGTGGAGGTGGAAATCAGGAAGAAGCGGTGGAAGTGGATAGGGCACACTGCGGAAAGCACCCGACTGCGTGATGAGACAGGCCCTCACTTGAAATCCTGAAGGTCAGAGTAAAATAGGAAGGTCAAGGAACACATTACGCCAATAAACAGAGATAGACATGAGCAGAATTGGAGGGAACTGGAAAGAGAAATCCAGGACAGAGTAGGTTGAAGAATACTGGTCGGCGGCGTACGTAAGTATGTTAGCCCATAGTTTGAGTGTCAAGAGGGGAATTATTACATAATCTTTTGGTCTTTATTTCTAGTAGACAAACCAGTTACAAATCCTGTAGATGCTGCTCAACTATCGTCGATGATAAGAAACTGAACCTATCGAGTATCGTTGCGAGTTCCTTCTGTTTCATAGATCAAAAGTTTAACAAACTGTTATTTCCCAATTTCATTATCATCCCAAATCCTTGCTTTCTTGCCCATTTATCGAATCGCTCATGAAGTTTTAACACAATTTTTCTTCAACTGCTTGTCCATTTCACCTTCTAACTACGTATTAACTGGCCCGTATCTTACAGTTACTGCATTAGTCAACCCTAATGGCAGTGTGGTATGATTCGATGATATATACTTCCGCGTACAGGTGTTGAAGTTGTGTGCTTTGCCTGTAAAGTGAGGCTAGTCAGTCAGTAAGTCAGCCATCAGTTGATCTGCCACACCCACGTAGTACTCGTTTCCTAACGACAGAACTTCTTGCTCGGTTGTCTCAGTATACATGAGTATTACTTCGGAGACACCTATGATTGAATACTAATAACATATGTTCCAACCAATAAAGTAGGGTTCTGTCATTACGATAGGCAACCCCGGCCAACACATCAAAGTTGCAGCTACGGTAGGGACCAGTGGCGAAAGTGTATTCCGGATAGGTGTGCAGTAATAGAGCTTAGACTAAGACATTAGTGAAAAGAAGCCACTAAACTTAAGAGTCAGCATTCATGACGGTGGGGCGATAACCTCAATTTACCTTTGTGTGAGGGGCAGAACATTTTGTCTGCTTATGGCTCCTTACGATGCCACCAATCAATCTTATTGACGTTAATTTTCCAACTCAACCACGTCTACGTTTCATATCTGTAACCTTGAACTTATTTCACTAGCCTACCAAGAAATACTATTTCAAGCTAATCTGAGCAGTTACGTTGAAGAGTATTTCATTCATGCATTATGTGAAATATTAATCTAACAAACAAGATAGCGATTGTATCATTTTGATCCTGCCTGTGGATTAGCTGCATCTTCTAACATATTATTTGGAAATAAATTACTTAGAAACGGCAAGAACCTGTTAATCACACCTCTCGACAAAGGCAAAGGTGTGATAATGCTAAACCGTAAACCAATATTGAAGAAATGACACACTTATTACTAGATGATACCAAATTTAGGAAACAAAGCAATCAGAAAATATCAAAAAATCATCTGAATGAAATTCTTAAAAGGGTGGAAATCGGTCATATAATCAACGAGACCATCTACTAATGCATTAAAACAGCTGGATAAATAATATCGTGACTTTATTATCCGTTTGAATGCACGAACCTGGCCTACATCAGACCAATCTTGATATAATGTGATTCCCTTACCAGTCTATTTCTAAATGGCTGGCACAACTCTTAAAACCCATAAGAAAATATATTCATATTATTTGCTACATGACACTGAAGTTTTATGACCAGATAAAAGAAGTTAATGCTGATGAGAAATATACCTTCTCACTTGATATCGAATCACTATTTCTGAACTTCCAACTAACAAAAATAATCAATTTACCTGCAACTATATAAGGGAATATGAGAGTAATGTGAGACTATGAGAATAGTATCTAAAGCAATTACTACTGCTTCCAGGCATTTTTAGCTTACTATAACAAAATAAAAATATTATCATCCTAAAATGGAATTAAACAGAGCAGAAAGAATCAATAAGAACATATTACAAATGTATACATGGAGGAATTTTCCCAAAAAGGCCTACCAAAAATGATTCTGCTCTATCTTCTAAGGGCAGTTATTAACTCCCACACAGCAATAATTTTCATGTTAGAAATAGAAAACACATAAATTGTTTACATTCTGAAAATCGAAATCGCAAGCGAACTGTGAGAAGATTTAGTTACGGAAAACCATTATTGAGATAACTAGCTATTAAGCATTCACCGCTGGGTTCCCATCATTAGTAATCACACCTCACCTTACCTAACGGATTTCCGTCTACAGGGGTAAGTCTGCCACTAAGGGTCCCACTAAGGGCTTTTAAGAACGGAGCTAACACTCGAAAAACCTTTAATAGACAGGCCGTGCGTGACGGGCCTCAAACAGTTGTCCGTTGGGCTCTGCGGTAACACTCTCAGGTCTTTGAGACCGTCACTAATCTATTTTCTTTTTCAGGTCCTTCAAGAAACAACTTTCCATGGTGTGGGCAGCCGGGAAGTGACAATCGCCCTGAAACCTCGTTCTTAATTACGTGTTGGAGTATTTGATTTACGGACATTGCGTCAAATAGGGCAACAGGCTTCCTTAACTAGGACATTAGAATCTCGTTCAATCGATGATTGCTACGTCTCGGAAACGCGCATACAGGATCCTAGTAAAATCATTAATTTGGTTTCACATTATCAAAACAAGGAAGTAGCCCAATTTACTCTCTGTGTGTCTGGTAACGCTGATATTGCTTCCCGGGGTCTCGCTCCTAGACTGGATCCCTGTAGATAGACGCTTGTGCGCTGTCCGACTAAACGGGACAGTAAGGACTCGGAAAGGTAAAAACCCCAAAGTCGTCTCCAAGTTAGACCCAACTAGATCACATTGCCATCAGCCACCGATAGAGGGGTTCGACAGAGGACTTTCGCTGGTCCTGGGGCCCTTGTTAGATTCAGATGATTCCCTAGCGCAGGCGCGTATTTGTGTGAGGCTCACAGGACGTAGGAAAGCTAGCGCAAGGAAACCTCTTAGGGCTTAGCTTAATGAAAATAAAGCTAAGATAAAATGCCAACGCAGCAACCGCGAACAGTCAATCCAGGAAATTGGATAGATCGGCCTGGTGATTGACAAAATCTAAGCACGGATACAGAAGGCCCGATTGGCTTTTGCTAACGTGCGTCACTTATGGTGCATGCGAGATATCCGTTCGCTAACCAAAGGACGAGTGTACTGTGCAGTAGTTCGCTCCACCCTATGATACGAATGCGAAACATGGCCGGTGAGAGTAGATGACATTCGTAGGTTGCTTGTCTTCGATCATAGGTGTCTCCGAAGCATTGCTCGCATATCCTGGGACACCCGAGTAAACAATGCTGTCGTTAGGAAGCGAGTTCTAGGTAGGGACGGCAGATTAATTGATGAAGTATTGAAACTCCATCAGATGAGGTGGTTGGGACATGTGTTACGTATGCCTAACCACCGACTGCCTTGTCGAGAGATGTTTTGTGGTATATGAGTAGGTTGGACGAAAGCTAGGGGCGGTCAAACCAAAACATGGTAGAAATCCATGAAGTCACTGACAAGTGGACTGAGTCATGTTGGTAGATGTAGGCTACGTGGTTGGGGTCCGCGAGACGAAAGCCACCAATGATTAGAGACATTGAACTGCATGGCTCAAAATCGTTTGCAATGACGCAGGTGCATTCATTCATTGTGTTCACTCAAATTCTAACCTTCTGAATTTTTTATCATCTCTATCTTTTTCCTTCCAAATTCATCTCACTGAAATATACTTCCCGAATCTTATCTTCGAACCCTAATCTTCTGCATTACTGCTATTACTTCTAGTATCGCTATCACTCTTGGATTTGAATTGACAGTTGCGTCTCTGTGCTAATGTGGTATGGCAACCCGAACTGATGTTTTTACGAACAAAGTTCTGCGTTGTATCAGTCTGTCTGTCTCTCTTCAAAGTCATCTATAATGTGAGTAAAAATTTCCAAAATCATTTGGCTTCTGTCCTCTATAAACTGCCGAAACACTTGGCATACATCGGTAAAACCCAGAACTGCATGTATGACTGCTGATTTATACACGGTGTTGGTCTGCCGTAAGAACAAATTTAGAAATAACTTTCTTCCACAGCCATCTGATTACTTCTACCTTCTTCTGGATGCAGCTGACTTGTTCCTTTTTCTATGATCCTCCAGATTACAGTTCATTTTACTTGATCACTTTGAGGAACCCCGTTTCACTTGAACTTCTTCATAAATATTTATAACTATTCTTCAGACTCTCAACATCAACATGAATTCAGTTAATCAGAATAACGTTTCACGTTTTCTTCGAATCGGCGTCACCATTAGCATACTTAGAAAATTTTTTATTATTTCTGCAGTTGTAATTATCACCTTGCGATTGTACAGCTATGAAAGTGAGAAATCTTCGCTAGACCAATCTTTATTTTCTCGTGTATACACGCAACACTTCTTTTTTTACCTCGTCTTCAGATCGTAGTCATTAAAACACTTAAACTTATACTTCAAATCAACCTAATACCCTTTATTTCCTTACAGGATCTGTTTAAATTGTGTGAAGTTTTTACAGATATTGTCGAATATTCTGAGAGTATTCGCATTTATGGTGAACCTTGAGGCACTGAGTAATTACTTGCGAATCGTTGTATGCATATATGGTGAATAGGACATACAAACAGATATTTTCCTGTATGATTTTATGTTCCCAGATTCGAGACACTGTAACGTAAATTTCACATAGTCTCAGAAATCAGTGAAAATCGATTGTCCTACGGCCTTTGGAACTATTTTAAGAGTAATGAAGAAATGTCCTACAAGAAAAATTTCAGGTTTGGCTGGCAGGCGGATGTGTCCACAGTTCTCCATAGACTTTGATCAATGCAAAGATGTCTTCAAAAGCATATATTCGTTATGCCATAGAAACTTGATACTAACTTGGATAGCGAATATATCATGACAAGGAACAACTTATTTAGTTGAGTACGCCTAATGTTAATGACGATATTTTTTTATTTTATACAATCAGTTCACGTTGAAATTTTCAATAAATAAAGAAAAACTGTGGCAGAATAATACGAATTTATAATAATTCTAGTTTCTGACGAGAGACCTACAACAATATGTACAATAAATTGCAGGAGAAGTTGTGATACAATGAGAAGCCGAATAAAATAAGGAAAGAACAGCTTCTTTTTTCAAGTGTCATGGCGTCATCATAAATCTTCCGCTTGTGTATGTCAGTTTTTTATCACCTACAAAATAAGATATTTGTAACACGCTTACTAGCTTTCCAAATCCTCTAGAATAGATTCAGTGATGTCATAAGCACGCGAGTCGAGGATGGTTGTATCTTTGTCAATTGTATATTTCTTACCGCTGCCTTTAAGTTTTCCGGTTCTTTGAATTACTTGAGCTACTCATCGCTCTTCGACGTAGTATAACCAGGCAGATTCCTATGTAAGGTTCTGGATGTAAGCAATTTTCTACATTGTAGACTGTTCGCTTATGATAATAAGGCTACTTCAACTGCTCACAGATTGACTATTGAGAAAGCGGTACTTTTTTAATGCAAATCTTGTGTAAAATCTTTTGAGTAGCTAGGAGTTCTGGAAATTATCAGTCAAATATTAGTTGTGATCGATACGGAACAAAAGAATACATCAACATGTCCAACCCATTGAGAACTCTGTGCACAGTATTAATGTTCTATTGTTTTTCAATATGTCTTACATTTTTCAACAGCCGGTGCATAAAAGTTTGCGAAATTTCATTTAATTACTTTAAGGGCTAGGTTTTCCCGTACCCACTGTCTATTACTTTATTGCACATGATCATAAAATTCATATTATCATGGTTCGTAAGATGTTCGCTATCATGGTTGTATAACTACCCAAGAGTGGAGCTCCCCTGGGCGAAGTATTTGAAAATTGTTGCTGTTTCTGGGGTTTCTAGGTATAAGTTAAATGTTTACAGACATCCTTTTAACAAGTGCTTTAGATATTGGTTGTTCAAATTGGAGTTTTGAGTTCATCACTGTGTCATTGTATGTTCTTTTGCAAATAACAATTTCGAAAACCCAGGTACACGATGACAAAGTCTACCAGTGTTATTTTTATTGTAATGTTCTCTGTCTTACTTAAATTGGAGAAACAAGTAGGTTGGTGTGATTCAAATAAACTTTTAGCGGCCATCCTTAGCCATTGTTGTTGGACTGATCACTTGCGGGCTTTTTATGTTTTCATATGAGTCCACTCAGTTTAATTACATAGGGTTCCTCCTTGTTCTTGCAGCGTCATTTTTAAGTGGAATTCGGTGGTCTTTCACCCAGCTTATCGTACAGGGACAATGTTATGGTGAGTTGACCTCCGTATGCTGTTTACCCAAATTTAACAGATGATAATTGCTTAAAAACAATTATTAAATCCCCAGAATTCTCAGGAGTGACAATAATTTCGAACTGAGAAACTGAAATTATATATCATCTGACATTCGTTTTTGCCTCATAGTAATGTGTAGTTTCGTTTCCTACCTAATCAAGTAAACAAATATTTACCGTTTTTATCGTCTACTATAATCGAAAAAGACCTACAGCATTAAGTTCTGACCTAAAAATAACCATTTCTGTCGCGATTTCCACCATGTTTAATCGACATCTGGCGAATTTACCTGATTTCATCCCCGACTGACAGTCGGTTTGTGTTCCGCTGACGTAGGTTGTTCTTGGTCGTATATGCCTAATATATCTGGAGCATCTTCCATAGACAGCAGTCTATAAATACCAGTGATTCTTTGATGATGGTCGTACTAATCTAAATTTCAGCTCGGTCTCGTTTGCTGGTAATATTATGAGGGCGGATGTCACTTCCGGGTTGCCCACACAGTGCGTGTTTTTGAGGGACCTGAAAAGGAAGGTAGATTAGCGCTGGTCTTATAGACTTGAGAGCAGGACTGCAGAGCCCGAGGGACAGCTGTTTGAGGCCGGTCAAGTACGGCCTTTTTATCAGTTGTTAAAGTATTTTGTCCGCTCTTTTAAAAAAGCTTTACTGCCAAAAGACGGGAATCCGTGAGATAAGGTGAGGTGTGACATTTACAGGATCAACCTTTTCCAACCCCTTCCTTCCTTGTGCGAAGACAGTATCGCTGTAGATGCTGGTTGTCCGATGGAAATATCTTACTGCTCTCACCCGCCGCTACAGTCAGCAGTGCGACTTCGCCCTCAAACCGTGAGCAGTTGTTTTTAGTCTCACCGTTCTCCAGTCGACCTGCCTGGCATGGTAGGACCTACAGGAACATGTTCCGGCAAATATAGATCGGTCGGGTCATTAAGATAGACAAGCCCAATCTCCACATCAAGGTAGCAGCTACGGTCGCGACTTAGTTTTTGTAGTGTTGCTTGTCCAACTCTATAATACCTATTTAACTTGGCTGCTATGAGGTAGTGATCTGATGATGTATCCGTTGCTCTGTTCTGGCTGTGAACTTTTTATTTATATATGGTTGATTTGGTTCTCCATAGCGTGGGGAAACACATGTATTCTTATGTATGCTTTTATAGGTAGAATGGTGACAGCTAGAAACATGTCTTTGTCTCATAAATTTAACATTTCCTTTTCACTCTTGTCTCTTTCTCCCAGTCCGTTTAAACCCAAAAAGCGCGTACAGGATGCGAGTAGAATCATTAATTCACCTTGTTCAGCTACAGAATCAACTTTGTTGACGGTTCGTGTATCTGGAAATCCTACTGCTTCTTCTCGTGACCTCGCTGGTATAGGTATAGTATTAAGTCCTAGTGCAGAACTAGCTCTCCCAGACTGGATTACGGTAGACAGTCGCTTATGCGCTGTCCGACTAAATGGAACAGCAAGGATTCTGAATGATAAGACAACTCGCCATTGCCTCTTCGTCGTATCCGCCTACGCTCCCACTGACTGCAGTTCAGACGAGGTGAAAGATGAGTTCTACCGAAAGCTTTCGGACCTCATCCAGAAAGGTAGGCGCTCTGATATAGTAATAGTGTCTGGTGACATTATTGCTCAGGTAGGTAGACTCAGTGAAAAGGAAAGACACGTGGGATGATCTTATGGTGTCGGGGCTCAGAGAACAGATAATCACGACCGCCTGATGCAACTGAGCTCAGATAATTGCCTATTTCTAGGAAAAATTAACTTTAAGCATAAGGAAAAACACCTTTTGACCTGGCGACCCCCAAATTCGTCTCAACGTTGGACCCAACTAGATCACATCTCCGTCAGCCACCGATGGAGATGTTTGATAGAGGACTGCCGCTCGTTCTGGGGCACATGTTTAGATTCAGATGATGCCCTAGTGCGAGCTCGTATTTGTGTGAGGCTTACTGGACGTAGGGAAGACACCGCAAGGAAACCTCCTAGGGTTCTACTTAATTACAGCATAGCTACGAATATATTTCAGGAGCAACCAGAGACGCAGTTAGGCGACCATATGAGTGATTCCCATCTGGAGGCAGCTTGCGATGATATCAAAAAGGTTGCGGAAACAGCAGTGATATCTGCTAGTAAGGTAAGTCATAAGGCTAGGAAGAAGCGGTGGATCTCAGCAGACGCAATTGGATTTGAATTGACAATTACAACTCTGTGCTAATGTGGTATGGCAACATGAACTGATGTACGTACGTACGAAGTTTTACGTTGTTACTAAGTGACTGATTTCTCCATCAGGATCGTTAGATCTTCTACAGTGGATTTATTTACGATGATCTGAAACCTCCCATAAATCGAATGCTTATCATTTTCTTTTATCTCGTTGGTGAACGCGTACAACTGAATATACCGATTGTGATCCCTCCGTAGCTGAGTATTTTTATTAATGAATTACAATCTTCAAATTACGTGAGTGCTACTGTGTGTACAGTTGTTTGGAGTTACTTCATAGAAATTAGTTCAAGCTAAACTGACCTCATATGCCTGTAATTTTTACTTACTTACTTACGCCTGTTATCCCCTATTGGAGCATAGGCCGCCTGTAATTTTGGTGGGAAGCGTATATACCAGCTAGTAGTTCCGACTGTAATTGTGTGTATACAATGTACTGGCATGATTGTGCGAATGAAATTTATAAAACAAGTTATTTCGTAGGTCTTTGCTGGCAACCTATTCATAATTTATTGCTTTCTATTTATTTTTACTTCTTAGGTCTCTCTCATCCTATTGATTTTATGTTCCATTCTCAACCATGGATGGCATTGGCCATTTTGCCTCTTTCTCTGTACATTGAAGGTAAGATATCTTCCTGCTGAATGCATTAAACCGCTTTGTACTTTTCTTATAGTGTAATCCCCGTAATTTTTAAATAATTTTAAGTCGGTTTAGAAAAGACTAAATTCATCTTGGTAATTACAGAAGTTTTAAGTATCTTGCAGTCGGTCTTATTGTTGGTGATATCTATTCTAATCTTATCTACTTATTCTGAAATATATAAAACGTCTCTTTATTCCAATTAGTTGTTGAATATTAAACACGAAGCCAGAAGGCTCACAGTCCGATTTTTATTGGCGTGATGCGCAACACAATTTGCTGTTAAACATTTTAAAATAACTGCTAACTAACCAATGTCTACCATCAGACAAAGATGTCTCTAAAAAAATTAGTACTAGAAACGACAAGAAAAAGTGGTTTCAAGGAAATTACTATCAGGACGTGCTTTGTTATACTGGTTTTTTGGTCGTATCATTTAGGTGATGGAATTCCAGCTTGATTGTTTTCAAACCATCAATGACGTTTGGATCTCCTATATATGGAAATTACCTAAAACCAAAAGCCACTTAATTATCTGACACTAAATTAATGAACGCGAACTATTGTTAAAAATCTAACTTTCGATGACCGTAGAATTATTCGCAGGAAATGTGAGACATTTTTATGTGCATTTTTTATATAATGACATCTAACTCGATTATTTAGTTTTTCGTTGAAATTTTCTTTATGGGTCGTTAAATAAATACATCGTCCATAGTGGTTTCCAAACAGGTATTAAAAACTTACCACTATCTGCGTCAATATTAAAAAAGTGAGAAATTCTCATTCTTATAGAAAATCTCTTATGTTGAACAATCGAAAACAATTATTTGTTAGCTGTCATTCAAGCACATACATAGAATCTTGAACAGTTTCAGAAATATTTGTCACGCTGTTTATCTTCACATATAGTAAAACAACATATCCACCAATTAAGCAATACATTCTTTAGGCTATTCAGTACGTTTCGTGTTATAAAATAGATCTATGCATGCTATATAGTGCCTTTTTTTTCTGTGTAACACATGTTGCTTATTCACTTCCTGATATCAAGTACGTACATGAGTTCGGGTTGCCATACCACATTAGCACAGAGACGCAACTGTCAATTCAAATCCAAGAGTGATAGCGATACTAGAAGTAATAGCAGTAATGCAGAAGATTAGGGTTCGAAGATAAGATTCGGGAAGTATATTTCAGTGAGATGAATTTGGAAGGAAAAAGATAGAGATGATAAAAAATTCAGAAGGTTAGAATTTGAGTGAACACAATGAATGAATGCACCTGCGTCATTGCAAACGATTTTGAGCCATGCAGTTCAATGTCTCTAATCATTGGTGGCTTTCGTCTCGCGGACCCCAACCACGTAGCCTACATCTACCAACATGACTCAGTCCACTTGTCAGTGACTTCATGGATTTCTACCATGTTTTGGTTTGACCGCCCCTAGCTTTCGTCCAACCTACTCATATACCACAAAACATCTCTCGACAAGGCAGTCGGTGGTTAGGCATACGTAACACATGTCCCAACCACCTCATCTGATGGAGTTTCAATACTTCATCAATTAATCTGCCGTCCTTACCTAGAACTCGCTTCCTAACGACAGCATTGTTTACTCGGGTGTCCCAGGATATGCGAGCAATGCTTCGGAGACACCTATGATCGAAGACAAGCAACCTACGAATGTCATCTACTCTCACCGGCCATGTTTCGCATTCGTATCATAGGGTGGAGCGAACTACTGCACAGTACACTCGTCCTTTGGTTAGCGAACGGATATCTCGCATGCACCATAAGTGACGCACGTTAGCAAAAGCCAATCGGGCCTTCTGTATCCGTGCTTAGATTTTGTCAATCACCAGGCCGTCAGCACTGATGAGACTTCCCAGATAAGTGAAGTTGTCTACACGTTCAAATACTTCACTCCCTATCACTAGTTCAGGTGCCGATGCAACCCTTCGGGGAGAATCGCATTCCAGGCATGTCTTCATTGTTGCTTAGGATGGTCAGAAGACTCTGCATTTTGTCAGCGTCTTCACCAAGTAGGACAATGTCATCGGCACATTCTAAGTCAATAACCGAGCCACCTGGTAGAAGGTCTAATCCTGAAAATTCAGACGAGGATAAGGTTTTATCTAGGAGCATGTCTATGACAAAATTAAACAAGAATGGAGAAAGTGGACATCCCTGACGAGCACCACTTGAAGTAAAGAATTCCGGTGACAGTTCGCCATAAGCTCTCATTCGACCTGTAGTGTTCGAGTAGAGAGCGTGTATAAGGTTAATGTACTTCTTCGGTACTCCTTTCAATGACAGACACTGCCACAGAACCTCACGATCCGCAGAGTTAGATACCGCCCTAAGGTCCAGGAAGACAACAGTTGTAGGATGCCTAAATGTGTGTCTGTGTTAGAGGGCCTGTCGTAGTGTAAAAATGTGGTGTATGCAACCACGTCCAAGTCGAAAACCAGCCAGGTTTTCTTTAGTCTGCTCTTCACGAGCTTTCATTAAGCTTCGAAGTATTATTGAGGCCAATACTTTAGATACTGTACTAGTCATCAATGGTTAGAGACCTTGAACGACATGGCTCAAAATCGTTTGCAATGGCGCAGGTGCATCCACTCTTTGAGCTCTCTCAAATCCTAATCTTCTGGATTAGCTAGCACCTCTGCCTTTGTCTTTATAATCTTATCTCACTGAATTATATTTTTTGAATAATATCTTCGAACTCTAGTCTTCTTTATTAACATTAATGCCTATACTATCTTTATCACTATGGGATTTGATTTGACATTTGCGTCTCTGTGCTAATAATGTGGTATGGCAACATGAACTTATGTACATACGTACGAAGTTCTACGTTGCAACTGACTGACTGACTGACTGATACTGTACTAGTTAAACTCATGCCTCTCTGACTGTCACTAGAGAACTTTTGTCCTTTCTTGTAGACTAGGATAATCAGTGATTGAGACCAGTCAGATGGTATCACACCAGGTCCAGATTCTACCTAAGATCTCAGTCAATCGAACTACTAAAGGTGGACCGTCATCCTTAAAAATCTCGGGTAAATCTGTCGGGTCCTGCTGCTCTACCTCGCCTCAGATTTCCTTTACCTTTTTCAACTTTATTCAGAGTCGGAGGACTTACGTCGGTTTCCCATTCAGGTTGACTGGAAATCGTGGGAAACCGATGTGTGGCAGAAGGCCAATGAAACTGATCCCTATAGTATTGTGCCCATTGATCCAGTCTCGTGGATTAAGAATGAATAATAAGACCATCCTTCTCCAAAATAGTCGCACTTACAGTCGGATTCCTAATACCGGTTTCCTTGATAAGTTGAAACAGTTGTCTACTGTTGCCTATCGCCTCTGCCTTTTTCATCTCCCTTGCTTTCGCTACCCACCACTGTTCACAGTCATTGCGTAGGCTTTTTATCAGCCTGTGCCTAGTCTGACTTCGCTGGTCATCATGTTCATAGCCAGGTGGAGTGGCTTTACCAGCGTCTATCGGTTCGGTAGATGCTGCTGAGATCCACCGCTTCTTCCTAGCCTTATGACTTACCTTACTAGCAGATATCACTGCTGTTTCCGCAACCTTTTTGATATCATCGCAAGCTGCCTCCAGATGGGAATCACTCATATGGTCGCCTAACTGCGTCTCTGGTTGCTCCTGAAATATATTCGTAGCTATGCTGTAATTAAGTAGAACCCTAGGAGGTTTCCTTGCGGTGTCTTCCCTACGTCCAGTAAGCCTCACACAAATACGAGCTCGCACTAGGGCATCATCTGAATCTAAACATGTGCCCCAGAACGAGCGGCAGTCCTCTATCAAACATCTCCATCGGTGGCTGACGGAGATGTGATCTAGTTGGGTCCAACGTTGAGACGAATTTGGGGGTCGCCAGGTCAAAAGGTGTTTTTCCTTATGCTTAAAGTTAATTTTTCCTAGAAATAGGCAATTATCTGAGCTCAGTTGCATCAGGCGGTCGTGATTATCTGTTCTCTGAGCCCCGACACCATAAGATCATCCCACGTGTCTTTCCTTTTCACTGAGTCTACCTACCTGAGCAATAATGTCACCAGACACTATTACTATATCAGAGCGCCTACCTTTCTGGATGAGGTCCGAAAGCTTTCGGTAGAACTCATCTTTCACCTCGTCTGAACTGCAGTCAGTGGGAGCGTAGGCGGATACGACGAAGAGGCAATGGCGAGTTGTCTTATCATTCAGAATCCTTGCTGTTCCATTTAGTCGGACAGCGCATAAGCGACTGTCTACCGTAATCCAGTCTGGGAGAGCTAGTTCTGCACTAGGACTTAATACTATACCTATACCAGCGAGGTCACGATAAGAAGCATGAAGGCTTCCAGATGCGCGAAGATTTAATCGAGTTGCTTCTTTATTTTGACCTGGTTACGTCAAATGGGTGGTTTTACATTTATCTGAGATGCAACTTACTTCGATGGCGTGAGATTTTCAATCCTATCTAATGAATTCTCTCGCTTTATTGGATACGATTTGAGGATATTAAAATCTCCAACATGTAGTTTAGAACGGGTTTCCAGGAGATCTGTAATAACGTTTCGTCAACTCGCATCGTTTGCGTTAGCGGTACGGGGTTGATAAAGTAATGTGAGAATAGTTAGTCATGAAGATAAGAGGGATATTTGGGTGTGTACGAAGTGTAGTGAAGGAGAACACAGGTGAGGGCAAACGAATTGTATATATCGTAAATTACAGAGTCACTCAGTAAAATAGGAAAACCATATCGTAAACGGTTAATTTTCAAATCTTCAATCCATCATCAATCCATTGTCTGACATTTCACTATTCATGCGTTTCATACAAATTCCATTGTGTTCCCACTCTTCCTTTCTTGATCTTCCCCCATCTTCTGCTGCCAGACATTACGTTTTTACTCGCGTCATATACTACCTATAAGTGGCGCGCACCACGCTCGTTCCCCCTTTTAATAA